CCTGGCCGCGGGCAGCGGGCTAGGGGCGAGGGCTCGCCGCCCTTCCGCGCTTGCTTGGCGACCGCCTGAGCTCGGGAACCCCCTCGGGAGCTGTAGGCCGCTACGGATTCGCTCGGTACCTCGCAGCGCTTCCGAGCCTGGCATTACAGTTCAGCTGCGCTCGCTGAAGGAGGCCAAGAGCAGCGCGGAAGGTGTGAGCTGCCAGTCCCACCGGCTGCTAACGCCTCCCAGTATCTTGTGCCCGTTAACATAGTTCAGGTTTGTGGCTCTTAAGACTGCCCTGTACTGATCAGATAACATGGGGCTGGTGTTCCCTTGCGTTGCCTTTAGATAGTAGGGTTCCTGCTACTGAGTAACTACACAAAACTAATGAGTACGGTGTGTTTTTTCAGTTAATGGAGGAGTTTTCTTCACAAAAGTCTCTTTCTCCTTTGAGTTGATGCCTAATCGTATTTTGGGATGTAGTTTCTCTAGTTGGAACCCTGAATAAAAACCCGTGGTTTTGTTGAGGAGAACGGTAAGTGTTCCACATTGCATCCTACCTATGTAAGACAAAACTAGCTTCCAAAGACCTGGCATAATTTCAGTGACTTGGTGGTGTTCAGGACAGCAACGGTTCACCCTCATGTGTGGTTTTTTTTTTTTTCCCCGTGTTCATTTCAGGCATAACCACAGCAATGGATGATTACACAAAAATAGAGAAGATTGGGGAAGGTAAGTATGGAAAACCATGAGCCTTGTAGTGTTCCACAGTCTGAGCTATCAAGTGTCATAGAAGCTCTATGCGCTCTGGCTATTAGAGGAACTCCTGAGATTCAACTAACTGGAAAAATAAGCCTGTGGTTAACTGTGGTAATTATCTCTAGATGTAAAAGCTTTCAGGCTGCTGCTCTTCTGAAGATAATGCGGTCTGTTTGAAACAACTCATCAGTGTTGAGAACTGTCTGCGTTCATATTGTTGGCTAATGGTGTAATTTTCCTCCAAGAGGGGAAAAAAGCCCAAGTGTTCTGAGGCCTGAAACCAGCTTTTCAATTTGGGAAACTCCTCCATTCCTTTGTATATGAAGTTGTGTACTAGTTGCTCCTGAAGTTATACTGTGTGTTATACTTACTTTGCTTGGAGCTGCTGGTAGGGAGTAGTGGTTCGTGGATTTTTCTGGTCACTATGCTTGTCAAGGCGAAGAGCAGATTGTAAACCTGTGTGGAGAAGTGAATTTTAAAAATTAATTTACCAAGAAGATTGCTTCAATGCAGATGTTAGTCCCAACCCCCCTTTCACTGGAAATCCAGCCTATGTTAAATGTAGAAGTTGGCGTGTTTTATAATGCTTTAGTCTTAAGTAGACTTGAGAATTTGCAGTATGTGCCTCTGAGAAGGTGTTCTCTAAGGTAATCGCAAAAGGTATGGGTTTGGATCTTAGAACAAAGCTTGGTAACTGAAGCCTTGTGCATGAATCTTTCTTCCTGAAAGAAACTTGTTTGTTTGAGCTTAATCTGAGGGATTAATGCTTCAAGAAGGGTGAAAAGAGAATACCTAAGCTGTCTTAGTTTGTTGAGGGTTCTACTTCTGTGAACACTGATTAAAATAGATTATTGATTTGAGATTTACTACTGGTTCCAATTCTAGCTTCTGCTGAGACCCACAGCACTACCCTCTCTCCTGCACTGAGGATTGTGCTAGAGGTATTTCTATAGATCTGACCAACGGATGGATAGATCTCTGATTGTAGAGGGAGCACGACTTTTTTTTGCAGCTAAACCTTTAACCTTTTAATATGATGTATCAATGGCAAAATCATAACCCCTTGGGGATGAAGAGGTATAGTGATCTTGCCTGAAAGTTAATCAACTCGAAACTCAAATAGTATCTGATTTTACAACTACATCTTCCAAATATTCAAGTTTCACACTTAGGCTACTAAGTACCCTGTCCTAACAAATGATGCTGTTTATGCGTGGCATGCTTTAAACAAAACTATTGCACGGTTAAACTGCGAAAACTAAGTAGTAGTTCTTAATCAAGCCAAATACTTAAACAAAAAGTACCTGATTGCAAGGACTGTTGCCTATGTTAGCAATTCTTATTTGCAATGACAACTGTACCTGAAGCCGGTATTTCCTATGTGCGTTTCACTGTCTTTTTGTTCAGGTACCTATGGTGTCGTGTATAAAGGTCGGCACAAAACCACAGGCCAAGTGGTTGCAATGAAGAAAATACGTCTAGAAAGTGAGGAGGAAGGTGTTCCAAGTACTGCTATCCGAGAAATTTCTTTATTAAAAGAGCTGCATCATCCCAATATAGTCTGGTATGCATATACTGGTATTTAGCTAAACTCTTTGAAGGGCACTAGGTCCCTTCAGATAAGAAATTACTTTTCCACCATTCTACTGAGGTGAGAGTTACTTTGCTTAATACAGTGTCTGCTTTGCAGCAAATAGCTGTCTTCCCAAATCCTGTATTTATACCAGTTTTCTAATTAAGACTGCCTCATGCTGCCTCTTCCCATTCTAGGAATCTAACAAGTTTTTGTTGATTTTTGTAATTTATGTAAATTATCTTCAGAGTGGTTATTGTGAGAATGGAGACAGTGTACCTTGTGAAAACTGGTTGAAGCTGTTACTTTAGTCAGTCTCTGAACTTTATTTGCCACCTTGGAATAGACCATTTGACCTTGGTGTTCTTATGTGAGCCTCCGTCATAAGTCACTTCCTTGCTGGTTTGTAGCAGAGATTCACGTGTTGTGTTATGATGCTGTCATAGCTGGCACATCTGAGTTACTGAGTGAAACTTCGATCAGTGACTACTGGACATATAGAATTGATTGCAGCTGTTGTCTTCCCCACAAAATATTTACTTCCTCTTTGATGCAGCAAAATACTTTCTCTCTAGTGTGCCTTGAAATTGGCCAAGTTCCAACCATCTAGTGTCTCTATGTGTGCTTGGGTTTAGGAACTGTTATAAACTATTAAGGATGAAGGAGATACTTAAAAACCTGTGCAAATCCCGCTGTATCTACTAGGTTCCTATTATTCCCTTAAACCTTCCTACTAATTTAGGCTCTGCTGTAATAAGCCAGGCCAGCTTCAAATGGAAGCTAGGCACCAATGCCCAGAGTCTTTTTTTTTTTAAAGGCAACAGTATTTTTTCCTCAGACTTCCTGTGTCTGATACTAGCCATGAGGGAATGTAAGTTTAAGAGGAAGCATATGGGGTGTTTATCTCAGTCTGATGCTATGTCAGATATACTTGATTTTCCAGATGCCAGTGTAACTCACTAAGTCTGTTAGTCTTTGAAGACTGAAAGCTTTTTAAGGCTTTCATAACAGGAACCTGGAAGTTCAGCTTGTATCCCTCTTGAGAGGGAGAAAGTAACCATGGGTCCATGCATTTTGCAATGGAGTTGATTGTATACTCAATTTTTAGTCTCCAGGATGTTCTTATGCAGGATTCAAGACTGTACCTCGTCTTTGAATTCCTTTCCATGGATCTCAAGAAATACTTGGACAGTATTCCATCCGGCCAATATTTGGATCGTTCACGTGTTAAGGTAATGAGGACAATTTCTTAATATAAGAGAGAAATCAATCTAAAGATGACCTACAAAGCTATAAGCAGCTCTTATTTTCAGTATAATTAACTCCTTGAGGAGAAATGAAAGGTTAAAGAAGCAGCTGTGGATAACAAGATGAATTGAGTTTTGCTCTCAAATGCCACTTCAGATTCTTTTAATTACTGAAATTAAACTGCCTTAAAATAAGCTTAAGTAAAGAATTAATTTGTGTGGCTTTGATATTAACTCAATATCTGCAATGCCTTCCATCTCCATTTTCTACTACTATGGGGAGAGCTAATGTAAGGGAACAGCTTTATTTTGCGGAACACTAACTTGTACTAAAAGTTAGTCTTTTTTTCTCCCACTTCGTCCTTTCTACAGAGTTACTTGTATCAAATCTTGCAAGGTATTGTCTTCTGCCATTCAAGAAGAGTTCTGCACAGAGACTTAAAACCTCAGAATCTCTTAATAGATGATAAGGGTGTGATCAAACTGGCGGACTTTGGATTGGCTCGAGCCTTTGGAGTTCCAGTGCGGGTATACACTCATGAAGTGAGTGAGTTGGAACATCCTCTTTGTGATTTGGACAATGCTTACTAGCTTCCTGGTAATAACTGAATATGAAACAGCTAAAAAAAAAAAATCATGGAACTTTTGAAGTCACTAAATAACAGTATCAAAGTTTATATTTCGATTTTGTTTTATTCAATGGCTTTCCATCTCCATGACTGTGGTTTTACTCTAAGGTTCCAAAGCATCTTATGAATCCCACTATTAACTTGACAATGAATCAGATGGGCCAGAACTTGTTGCTTACTGTCTTGTAAGGGCATTTTTGCTTCATTTTTGCTTCACAAAGTACTTGAGACTGAGCATTTTGGTAGCTAGGCGCTAAAGGCTTCCTGCTCTTTGGGAAGTAGTGTAGGCAACTGCTTTGCTTGCAGTAGAAACTACTGTAATGGAGTTTATGTTTATCTGAATGAATTTTGAAAGTAGTATTTTCACTAAAATTTCTATCATTGGCTATTTTAACAAAAGAAACCTGTGAGTGCTGCTTAATAATGAGCCATTGGGCTTGCAGTCAATTAGAGGACCTGATTCTATAAACTCATAAAAAAATTTTCTTTGTTCCATAGGTAGTGACACTGTGGTATAGGTCTCCAGAGGTGTTGCTAGGATCTGCTCGTTACTCTACTCCTGTAGATATATGGAGCATAGGGACCATATTTGCTGAGCTGGCAACTAAAAAACCGCTTTTCCATGGGGACTCAGAGATTGACCAGCTCTTCAGAATCTTCAGGTACGTCAGGCTGAACCTTTCCTTGCTATTTGTGCAGCATTGCACAACAGTGCTGTGCACTTACTAAAAGTGCATATACATAGTAGTGCATACAGGTGTCAGACTAAACTGCTCAGTATTTTGCTTCTGCTTGCACAGAGCTTTAGGTACCCCCAACAATGAGGTATGGCCTGAAGTGGAATCCCTGCAAGACTACAAAAACACATTCCCGAAATGGAAACCTGGCAGCCTGGGAACGCATGTCAAAAACTTGGATGATGATGGACTGGACCTGCTGTCTGTAAGTAGTCTTTCTTAAACTGCTGATTAAGAAACTGAACAGGTAGTTTCAAATACTCTAGAATACATAAAGCTATACTAATTAGTCTTGGCTCAAATGAAGATACGGAGATCTTCAAACTATCAGCAGTGGTATGGGCTGTTGTTCTTGTAGAACTGACACCTTGTGTGACACTCACTTTCATAAATAATAGATGACTAGACTACTTTTCTTCTCATTAAGTAATTATGCCTCAGCTTTTTTATACTAATAAGCCAGGTACAACTTGAAAGTAAGGATGAGCTTTTACAAACAGGTCTAAGTGAAGGCTCCTGCCCACAAACTGTAGCTGTCACCTTCCTGGTGCCAGCACTGATTATGATGTGGCTGTATGGCTGCTGATCCAGTTGGGAATGTTTTTCTTTCACGGTAGCATGTAGATTAATCTTGGTGGGCTCATCTTGGTGGTCTTAACTGAATAAACAATGATGGAAGCAGCTGAATTTGATTAGCTGTGAAACCAGGGGCTTTGTTTGAATCAGTCTGTAGTGTCTGTCTCAATTGCCTTAAAATTTTGAGTTCAAGTTTTTTTTGGCTGTGGTGGATTAACTTTTAATTAGTATATTTTGTGTCTAGTGTGAGTTTACTTTAGTTATGTGGCCATGCAGTTGAACTACCACACTAAGCTTTCATTTGACAAGCTCTTCATGAGGCTTTTCCATTTAGTGCTCTTCCAGCTCGTGTGCTGCCACTGTGGACTAATTTAGATCGCACCTTAGGCGTGACCTTAGATGTACCTTGGTGACTTGTCCGAATGCTGCATTTATACAGTGCAGACTTGCATATCGGGGTGTGGGGCGGTGCTCTACGTGTCTTAAGATAAGCTGAAACTTCAGAACCGTTTTGGTACAAGGGGAACCTTGTAGAGCAATTACCTGTGTAGCTGGCTCATGTTTTTAAGCAAAGTCGTTTGTTACCTATATTGGTATGGCTATGGCAAAATACTCTGAAGTGGTGTTACCCAGGAAGCTCAAATGACCACAATTTTTCACAGCTGTTCTTTGTGAGAACAGAGCCACAGTTCAGACTGACAACCTGAACAACACTTGTTAAACATATAGTTGTTTTGGATAGCTCCCTGAACCTTGTAGTGGTACTGTTTTGCAGAGATAACTGACTTAAGCTGGGAATAATTCCTCTGTGTCCACTGACAGCATCATTATTAAATCAGTTTGAAGTAGAATTGTTACTGATTGTATTTGCAAACTAAAATCAATTGAACAGACAAGCAAATCTTGTTGATACAGTCATGTAACTGGCCTAAGTACTCATCTGAGCTTAGTTGTGGCTTCATTGTGTAAAATCAATGTTTTGGGCTGCTGCTAATAAAGGCAAAAAAAATTACTTGTTCCTCAAATGGTGTTAACACAATACTAATCTCAAAGCCTATGCTGTAAAATCTTGTATAGTTTCGCCTTAAATTGTTGAAATTTTAGCCTCCTATTAATGCCTGGCAACAGTGGTATGGCTGAATTCTTAGGCATCTGGAATCCATTTAAGTTTCCTATAGCACTTTTAAGCCTGAAGCAGTAATACAACTTCAAGGCAAAAGAACTGAATATCTCATTCTAGAGCACAAGCTCAAATGTGTCAACGAAAATGTTAATTTTTCCTTGTATGGACTACTGCAGATGGAAGTAGTGCTTAAAATAGCTATCTTTGAAAAGGGGTTACATATTTTTGCGTTAAGACCAATTGCTTGAGTGAGGTTGTAAACGTAAGACTTTTGTAAGCTAAATGACTTCTGTGGCCAGCATTTCAAAGCACTTAATGGCTGTCGTCAAAAGCTTTGGTCTATCGGACACTAAGTTTCAGGAAAAACTATGTTCCAGACTGCTCAGAAAAGAAATGGTCACTTAATTTATCAGCTGAAGTGCTGTAGTCTCAATGTCACAGCACCCCTTTTTTCAGAGAAATTTGCCCTTTTTTGCCTGAGTCAGTTTTAAGAGAACCTTTGATATCAGTGTTAGCTATAGGATACTGTTGTTCTGGGGGTAGCGCTAATAGGAACCTGTCACTTAAGGTAAAATTGGATATACAATGTTAAATCTAGAAATAGTGTTGCGTTTGGCAGGAGTTCAGAGAATATAAATGCAAATTCAGTGGTTTAAATCAACTTGGAAGACTCCCTGTAGGATGAAGTCTAAAGACAGTTGAATGTCAAGACTGAATACTGGGCAGAGTAATACTGGTTAAGAATTTTTTTCTCCTGAATGATAAATTTGTTGTGGGGATGGGGGACAAGCAGTTGGTACAATCCGGATTACTTGAATTTGAAATGTACTTTCCTTTAGTAAGGAGAAATAAAAGCAAAAAGACCTTGCAGAGACTTTGCTAGCTTTAGGTCTAGTAGAAAACAAAGTGCTTCATTCCTTTCCTCTTTTTGGCCCGTGGCTGTATGATAGAGACTACAGATGTTTTGTTTTTGTTTTGTTTTTTTTTTAAACTGCTAGCAAAACAAATCTCTTGCTTGTTCTAGATGGTTCTGGGGGCTATTTCAGTGGCTCTGGCATCCCCTCTATTTGCTCTCATCAACTTTTATTATTGATGTGTTCAGCTGAAGTAACTTACTGTAAAGAAATTCAAGTTTTCAGACTTGGGGTTTCTTCAGTTCTACCTGCTTTTATAGTACTTTCCCGTTTGAACTCTGTAACTGAGTGATCACTCTTACATTTCAACTGTAAACCACTGCACCAAGCTGGGTAGAAGCAATGCAACATCAGTTTCTTCAATGTCAGCTTAACAAAACAAGCACAGGACCACTTGTCCTTCTAGGCGTTTTGGGCCTCAACAGCCTAAAGCTTACTAATTTCCCTTAGTTGAGAAGCTGAGACAAATAATCACTGCCACTTGATGCCTGGTTCTGGATTTAGTTGAGTGCATGTGGTACCTTGATACATGCATGGGCTTGGTTATTGAATGGGAGAATAACTGTTTCTTGGCTTTCTGAGATGTTATGCATTACTACTGACCTACTACTGACTTGTAGGTGGAAATGACCTCTCCCTCTGAGTAACCGTGGGTCATGGGGGGAAACGTATCTTTATGGCTACTTGATTATTACTGTGGTTCAATATCTATTTAACATGATTTTAGTTCCCATTTCATGAGGAATTAAATATGTTTCCTTTTTCTTCCAGAAAATGTTAATTTATGATCCTGCAAAAAGAATTTCTGGCAAAATGGCCTTGAACCATCCATATTTTGATGACTTGGACAAATCCACTCTTCCTGCTAATCTGATTAAGAAATAATAGACCTTTGGACTAAATCAACCACCAGTGTGAAACAATTGAGATTACTTTTAATGTTAAGTCTGTCTGTAACTTGTATGTCCGTCTTTCTGCTCTAAAACTGTGGCTGTGTTTTAGTTTGTTTTGGTTTAAGTGTTATCTAAATGTAAATATTAACCTATTAGTGCTGAGTTCAAATACAGTGCAAATATTGCTGCCATTAATGCAGTGAACTTTCTATAAATAAAGCTTTAAATCCAGTGAAGGACTGAACTTATTTCTAGATTATGGGTGCTCTACAAAAGGACTCTTTTCTTTGGAGTGTGCTGGTAAGGTACCACTTGTCTAAAAAAAGCGGGGTAACCTAAACTACTAAATTGCTGTTCTTGATATGATGGGAAGATAGGATAGGAAATTCCTCTGAAGTTTGAGTTGTTCCAGTATAATGTCAATTTAAAATTTTATGTGAGCATGGCAATCAATGTGCCAAAGGACATGTAAATGAGATATTTTGAACTGAAGAATTGCAGATTATAAAAGCCAAGTAGATGGTCAAACAAGTAGAATGGTTTGAGATTTTTGAAGGTATTTGCAAATCATTTGGGAAAACCCTTGCTCTGTGTGCTTTTCTGTTATCTTGAAGGCCCAAGAATTTACCTAGAAATCGGCTTTTTAACTTGTGAATTGGTATATTTCCAGCTCCTGGACCAGTTCTAGGGTATGATATCTTAAATTTTACATGGACTCTTTATATACCAATGTGTTACTTCTTAACAGGGACCCTTCCAACTGCTAATAGTAATACAGTTCTCCTCTGATTCTTATCAAAGGTAGAGCCCCCCAGCTTATGCTTGAATTTGAAAACTAGTCTGTCTTTATATAGGAATAGTCAAGTAAATGTTGATTTAACATGACTGCTAGGAACTGTAATCATAAACTGAGATGCTACATGTCTATAGACTCCCACATGATTAATGCAGGAACTTCCTAAAGCTCCCAGCATTTAACTTCACAGGTGAGAGTTTTGTAAAAAGTTCAAACAAAATTGACAAAGGTATAAACTAATAATTGATTGTATGTTAGATTTCCAATTGCTACCTCTATTCTTGGCTTTCAGATATGTCAATGGGGACAGGGTGCACATCTGTCCTTAAGTTTTACTGGATCTGAGCACCATGGTGCTCCTTTACTTGCTGGTTAGGGGCCAAAGCTTGTGGCAAAGTGTGGAATAGTAATGAAGGCATTTAAGTTTCTCAATCAGGCATGTGAAAGGAACAAAATGGCCTGTTTGTAAACAGCAAGGTTTGTAAAAGCCCTGTCCTACAGCTGCTGAAGAGTGACTTTGAAACAAAAGCAGTGGATGTGACAACATCCTGTTCTTCACTGCTTATTGTGTCTGTTGATGAGTAGCTGGAAGATTGGTGTTAGACCTAGTTTTTGTTACTGTGTAGTGTTTGTAGACATAACTACTGGTGGGAGTGTTAGCATTGTTCTCTGCAGGGTGGTTCTTAATCTCCAGAAGTATCGAGATACTGCCAGCTTAATGGAGTCCTTTAGCAGTGGAGAGCCAAAGAGGAGAGATTTTTTTTGAAATTGCTTGTGCAAAAAGTTACTTCGTAATCGAAGGCAGAGGGGAAGATGATTGCTATGGCTGACTCCTTTCTATTGACATCAGTGATAGGATGCAATTTCAAGACAAATTAAACTAGGGACCTAATTTATCTGCTTTTGAATGTAGTAACTTGAGCTTTGCAGGCCAAGGGGTAGTATTGCTGGTGCTAGCTGGTTACATCAGTGTATAAAAAATGAGGGGAAGCTGCTAGCAGCTGCTCTGAGAATCAGAAGTTAATCTGCTTAAGCAAATAGGGGGGACCTTAACATTTAGTTTGTCTCTCTTCATCATGTGCAGACTTTTTTATTTAGGTTCTTTGTGCGGAAAAGAAGACTTCAGCTAGGCAAACTCAAGATTTTTGTTGCTTGCAATACTGATAAAGCCCTATTTTTTTCACATAAGTACTGGCGTCTGTCTCAGTTTCATGGGATAGTGAACACTTTACCCATCTTAACTAAAAGATTTCAGTACTAAAATTTCTAAAGAAAGCTTAATTTTAAAAAATAATTTAATAAAAGTCTGCAATCTTTCTTGTTTATTTACCCAGGCACTGTTACGACTGGTGGTGTAACACAGCTGTCATTGCAGCTCTGAATGAACTATTATAGTGCTCCTAGCAAATAGGACAGAGAAAGGAACATAACGCTGTCCATCAGTGTCTGAGGTCAGATAAGGTGGTGAATATCATACCCAAAGACATGACTCACTTTAATAGCTCCATTCTGAAATACAGTGCAAAGTTATCGATGATGCACATAACTTACCTTAAGGAAAAATACAACATCTACACTTTGTAACTGCCATGCTGTCTAGACCTAGTGTGTGGAAGGTTTGTGATGCTCAAGTTTTGGCCATCTGAAACTCCATTTTATACTGGTGAAAACTTGAGGAGCTTTGCACTGTGGGTAATAATTGGCAGCCCTATTTATTCATAGTGCTTTGGCTATGTATTGTGAGAATTGAATTGCTACAGTGCTACTATGGTTTTTTTCGTCCTTCAGCTGAGGTCATTGTAGTGCTTGGCAGGGTTTCACTGGTTCATAATTTTTATTAGGGTGTTTAGACAATTGAATTGTACTAAACAGTTGGATATGGACCTACCAGGCAATAGCCAGCATACATTTCATAGCTGCAGATTAAGAATGATTAGCTCTATATTAATAGCATCTTAAAAGATGTCTTAAAGAGCATCAGTGCCTTTTTTACTGGGTTCATAAGGGACCAGCACCTACTGGTGCAAAACAGCTCCCCAGTGTAAGAAAGGTATGGCTATACTGGAGTGAGCCTAGTGAAGGGCCACAGAGATGAAGAAGGGCTTGGGGCACCTGTCCTACAAGGAGAGACTGAGACAGCTAGGACTGTATTGGGAGGTATCAGGACTGTATCAGATGTCCTTTCCAACCTTAATGATTCTACTCTAGTTTCACTTTCATTAAAAAATAAGCCAGCCACCAAGCCAGGAAACATGAAATTAATTATTACTCTACCCTTAATTGGTTTAATGGTGGACTTGGTAGCGCTAGTTTCATGGTTGGACTTGATGATCCTAAAGGTCTTTTCCAACCTAAATGATTCTATGATTCTTCTGACTGTTGTAAGAACTAGGGGGGGATTACTTTATTTCAACTAAGAGCAGACTGCTTTTAAAGAAAGTTCTGTAATGTTGCATCAGTATTACCTCTGGTGCTATGGCTGCTGCTCAGTAACATTTCTGCTAGAGCACAGGCAAACCCCAGCATGGAATGCTGAACTCAACTCGCTGTTTTACTTAACTTGCTTGTCCTCCATCCCATTAAAGTAGTGCAGATGAAAAAGTTTGGTGTATACAAGAATGGGATTTTACACAGGATCAAATTAGGGTGTTGGTGCTGTTTGGTTTTTTTTTTAAAGTTTCCAAGTGCTAGCAAGCTTTGTTCTTTTCAAAATAGCCAACCACCTACTAGATACTTGTAGACTGAGCTCAGCTGCTTTTATTTTACTCAGACATAATTCATTTTAGTGAGAATATGGTATTACCATCTGCTTTCAAAGTAAGTGTCTCTTAAAAAAAGAGATTTTACAGGGAACAAAGAAAAGAAGAAGAATTTTACTTTCTAAATCCTTGAACAGGGTAAATACTGTAAAAGCTGGTGTAAAAAGAAACCTATACCTCTCCATGTGCTGGTGCAGATATCGGGGTCAGAGGTGGTCCTTCCTGGGCCAGTACTTCTAGCAATGCCTTTATGCTGCAGTGTTCAATGAATCCATCCTCTTTAATTTGAACAGGTAGAGTAGGGTTAACTGATAGGCATGCTCTGCTGCAGACTTAACCTGTTTCAAACAAAGTTTCATTTACAATCTGTTCTTTTCTAGTGACTTATCTTCTTGTGAGTGTTTTCCTATCACTGTTTATGTGCCTTTATGGCACCTGGAGATGGAACAGTGTCAGCAGATATCTTCTCCTGAAATTGCTGCTACCAAATATGCAGAACTCATCTCTTCATCCATTTTCCTTCTATCCAGATTCTCTCTCATTTGACAATCCCTAGCAATCTGATTGTAACTGTGGTATCCCTCCTCCTTGCTTGTCTTAAATATTTTCCCTTTCATTTCCCTGCACTTCCTCTGCATTAGCATGTGCCATCTGAGTAGCAGTCGGGGGCTGAGGCAGAGTGATTTGTCTGGGGGAGAACCAAGTTTTCACTTGAGTCCTGTGGGTGTATTTGTTTTTTTTCCCCTTGCTTGTGAGGAGAGCCAGGAAGAGTTCTTGGTGGGGATCTGAAGGAGGAACTGTGATGGATGAGAAAGAAGGGGTCTCTGTAAGCAGGTAAGAGGCTGCTCAGAGCACAGGACAGAAGAAATGCAAGCACCAGAAATAATGCTAGAGAAAAAGGGTGACCTGAAGGGGATGAATAGAGTGAAAGACATGTGAGAAGTTTCCTAAACACCTTTTCAATGGAAAGCTTTCAGTTTGAGACTCTAGCTTTCTCCTTTCTGGTCTAAACCTGATGTCAGAACCCTTCTAAGGGCAGCGTAGTAGAACTGATCTCTAATTTTGAAATTAAACAGCACTATTTAAATCTCAGTGGGAGCCAGGAAGCACCTCATGGAGAGAAGACCTGTGTTTTTTTCCTCTGGAAAAGAGAAGCTCCTCAGAGCTGAGTTGGGAACTGCTGCCCCTCCTGAGCTGCCCTGGCTTTTGTTCACCAGCCTTGTTCTTTGCTTGTCCAAACACGTCTGTGTGCTCTCCTTGGCACCCACGCTGCAGGGGGCTGACCTCTGCCCTGACCAACTAACCTCCTGTTCCCAAAGCAGTGTCTCTTCAAGGCGTGGTCTGATGTGACTGTTCCTAAGCCTGGCCAGGAAGTTGTAGCTGACTTATTTGTAACCTGCTTGGCTGGCTCTAACAGGCCATCTGGTAATATTTGATTTGGGGGTGTGTTGGGGGGAAGCAACCCTGACCCACAATTTATCTACCTACC